ATACACCAAATCCTCCTAATGGTCCTACCATTAGACGTGGGTTAATGACCAATTGCAGAAAGGATTGTCCTCTGTGTTTGACACAATATACATATACATATGTATACATGTATACATATATACATATATACATACATACATATATATATATATATATATATATATATATATATATAATATATGTCTGTGTATGTATGTATGTGTTTCCATTATTATAGAATAATTGATGTAGAATAATCATTGTTAGCCATGTTATGAATTCGATCGAAGATAAGGGATTTTAAATTTGTAAAAGACATCAAAATCAGATTGTTACAACGTAATATCTATGTAATTTCACTGGATTAATATCAAGATACGTATTAATTTGAATTGAAAGATATATTGACCGTATTAATCGAATTAATCTCCTAGAAAAGATTTAACTAGAAAAGTGTTCTATTAGCTTTAAGATAATTTGGATGATAACTGGGCATGTAGTAGATTCTAATAATAAAACGTATTAATAAAAGTCTGTGAGCTCTCCCCTCGAGGTCATATACAATGTTATCAGGAATTAGCACTGCTAACTTCGACAAGGACGTCGACAAGAATTAATAAAAACGATTATCGAGTTCTTGGAAACCAACGAAAAAAAAAAGGGAAAAAAAAAGAAAGCAGAAAAAAGGAAGCAAAAAAATTACACCTGATTTCCGATCAAACGACTTTTATGTCTATCTTTTTATCCTCTCTATCTTTATCTCTCTCTCTCTCTCTCTCTTTTCCTCTCCCTCATTCATTCCTCCTGTCAAAGGAATTGATTAATGGACCGAACCGATTTCCAGCAGGAGTACACGAAGTCTGTTTTTCCTCTCTCTCTCTTTCTCTCTCTCTCTCTCTCTCTCTCTCTCTCTCTCTCTCTTTCTCTCTCTCCTCTCGCACACATGCATACATACACACACACACACACACATAGTCTTCTTATACCTCTCAAAGTAACGACACCGTTTATACCGTCACGATTTTGGTCTCTAGCACTAAGTTCGTATGTATATATGTATGTATGTATGTATGTACAAAAATATCAACGATCCTCCTCCGTGAACGCGAAGAGGATACGAAAAAAGAGAGGGTAAAATCGTTGGAGGAGTTTTACTGGCTTGGGACGGTAACGGGAAAAGAGAAAGATTACAAGTAGGTGGAAGAGGATGAGGATGAGAATGATGATGAGGAGGAGGAGGAGGAGGAGCAGGAGAAGCAGCAGGAGGAGGAGGAGGAGGAGGGGAAAGCAGTAGCACTCTTCTCTCTGTCCTCGCGCTTGAGAGAACGAACGAATAGAAGAGGCAAGCAGTCGTTATACTCGGGTCTTTCGTGACAGGCTAACTTTTCGAATATGTTCGATATTACATATGTAATTTTTGTTTGAACGATATATAATAATATAAAATTATTTAATCGATAATTAATTATTTATAAAATTTCGTCATGGTGATAGAGATCAATCATAAGAAGTATCATCGTTCGGTTCGTTCATTTGTATAATAATAATAAAAAAAAAAAAAAGAAAAAAAAAGGAATGAAAAAGAATTGCCAATAAAAATTTAATGCTCTTATCGTATAATTAATATTTGTATATTTGGTAAAGAGAACGACAGAGAGAGAGAGAGAGAGAGAGGGAGAAAAAAAAAGAAGATAATCTATTTTTTATGAAAAATACAAATATCAAAAGTGAAAAGAATACGATAATCAAGAAAAGTTTACATTATTCGTTTGTTCAGATCGATCTAGTAAAACAACCCATTGGTAAACGTGAGGATTTCAACCCTTAGAAAAAAAGTGAAAGATAAAAGCAAGAGGGGAAAGTAAATTTAAAAAGGGAAAGAGGAGGAGTGGATATAGCGTATATAAAAAGAGTAGGATTTTCATTTGGAAAGGTCGAGGTAAATATTGACACCTGCTGACACAGCTGGTCGGACTTTTGTGTCCAGGTATAAAGTAAACGAAGGGTGGAAAAAAGGTGACAGTATACGACAAGCCACGTGCCGATCGAACAGGATCATTCGACCTCCCCCACCAGCTACGATAACAACGTCAACCTTCAACCAACAACGAGTTTACGTCTACGAGTTTGAATTATTACTATCTCGGATCTGTGTTATCATGACGGTGTTTTGTCTAATTATTATTAGTGATTATAATAAGTGAATCTTTGTTCTTTCGCCTTTTTTGTTTGTTTGTTTGTTTTTTTCTTTTGTTCGTTTTCTTCTTAGTTTCTTCCTTTTTTTCTTTTTTTTCTTTGATCTCTTCGGTCTCATTTCCATTTCTTTCCCTTATTTCTTCTTCCGTCGTTTTCTTTTTTTTTCTTTTTTTTTTCTTTTTTTTTTTTTTCTTTTTTTGATCTTTATTCTTTTTTCAAAGAAGTCAGGAAAATCGATCTGCAAAATTTCTAAACATTTTTATACACGGATTCTAATCGTCATGAAGATAATACTGATAACTATCTTACTGGGTTGTAGCTTCG